GACCCATTAAACACAAAAACTGCTCTGGCTTCGGGGGCTTCGCCCCCGACCCCACCGGGGTCCTTAGGCAATCCTCTGGACCCCACGCCAAGAGAACCCCCCCTTGAAATGACCTGGCTACGGGCCTGAACATTGTCCATCTTTGTAGCTCCATAGTAAAATGAGACTCCTCCTTACACCAAAATAAGAGTAGCAAAAAAGCATCGCTATCCTGGTGGTACAGTATACCTGTCAAAGAGGACAGCAAAGTTCCTCTTTAAAGCCTCTTTGTTCACACTGCACTGAGAATTATCAAAAAAACATAAAACTACCATTATCGATACTTTTACAATATAGGCCTAATATGATTGAGGACGGAATTAATATATCATGACATTGGTGTAGGCTTAATGTCTGACAATTGCATGAAATCTCAGATGCAAACACATTTTACATTTTAAAAATGTAAAATTAGGTTGTCTGGTATATTATTATGAATTTTAATTTCGATTTCGATTTTGATTTATTAAAAAAAAAACATTTATATTTACTGTAAGATTAACAATAGAAATGTTAATGTTGGCCTATGCCTAAAACACCTTTATCCCGGTCCAATCAGAAAAATGTATTTTGATGACGTCATGGAAAATACAAAAAGTCTTCCCAAACCTCCCTAAACATTTCAAAAATCATTGCAATATGAACTTGTTTTGGTATTACAATGAAAACTGACATCGTCCACTCATAAAACAGTACAAAAATGACGTCATATAGATTTGAATATGCTTTTATTGAATTCTACGGGTATGCAAACCTCCAGATAAGTCTTATATTCGTTTAGATTAGCTTCTGTAATGAGTAATTAATTTTGGCACACTTTGACTTCATTCTGGCCCACTGTGCAACGTCTCTACTATTCTATACTATACAAACTGATTCGAATTTCTCATCGTTTTAATATGCTTTCCGATCAGGGAATTCGGATTCGGTTTGAATGCCCCTTTTAAGTTGTTTTCATATGATTTTTGTGTGCTGTAATAATTCATCATTTTACGTTCTGAGTTACGAACGCAATTTTGTTTTTCAAAGTGTGCCACTGTTGTACGTGTACGTCGATCGTCGAAATCGTATTATTTTGTATCCTTAACTGACTATATAATTTTTAAAAAATCAGCGTTTACCTATGAAAAAAAATATCCCTTATAAATTGCATTAGCTTCCTTTACTCCTCTTTAGTGTGTCTAATATTCACGGATGAACACAATTTGTCGGTTGATTTATTGGAAAAAAAAAACTTTTTTTTCTTATAATTTTGTTATACTGTATAAGCATTCTTTTGAAATACAGGATTTTGTGTTATAATATGATGACATGCACCAAAGATAGTGCTGATTTAATTAATCCTGCAGATTGTACAAAATAGCATTAAGATTTAATGGACAAAACCTTTTTATCTTATAATTAAAGTTGTTATACTGTATAGAAAGAGCAGCTTAGTTCAGTCGGTGGTAGCCACTGTGAGTGCGCTGAACCGTGTTCCCCGGTTAAATTTGTTTCCATTGCTGCTCTCTTTGTATTTCAGCTGGAGGGCTGAAATGCAAGTGTAGGGTATTGTCTCCCGAAGGACTGCCCAATTACGACCAGAAGGACCCCACTGGAAATAAGTCTTCTTCAGACTTGTGTGTTATACTGGGATGTGCCAATTATTATAGTGCTGATTAAATTAACCCTTCAGATTGTACAAAATGGCATTTAGATGCAATGGACAAAAACTTACAAGCATTCTTTTGAAATGCAGGGTTTTGTGTTATACTATTTTGTGCTGATTAATAATTATTCCTCGGATTGTACTCAAGGTAATTTAAATTATTTTATTTAAGTTGTCTCATGTATTGTATTTGACATAAAAGGCTACTTATTTGTCAAAGGGGATATCGAGATTGAACACGGGATCACAAACACACGGATCTATTCAGGTTGTATCTAAAGTGAGGTTCAGTGAAGTGTGTGGATTCGCTCTTGCAATAATTTGTTTCTCCCTAAGGGTGTTCAGTAGATTCAAGGTTTTCAAAATATAAACAAAAATTGATCAAATTAACTTTAAAAAAATTGTGATTAAAAAAGATTCAAATTTCTCAAAATATAAACAAAATTGTGAAATAAAGAACATTCTACTTTAAACTTTGAGTCTAGGAGTGTTTTTTTCGGCCATCTAAAAGTGCCATAATCATAAATTTTCACTCCTCAGAGCCTCAATTATGGTGGGGCTGAGGTAGTATAGACCCTACATCTGCAAAGATTCCTTTCTGGGCTCCCTCTGTTTAAAATTCCTGGATCCGCCACTGGTCTCTTTTCATATCTTTGCTACCTGGTAAACCGGTAGCAACTGCTCTAGTCTGCTTAAGAGATTGATTTAGTATTGTACAGGTAATAGTCCTATTTACTTGAAACATGATGCTATGTTTAATTTTGTTATAGCAAATTTATATCAGTTTCATAAATATTTTAGATAATGTTTGGCCTTTTAAAATTTAAGTTAATTAAGTTAATTAAAAACATTAACATACTTTAAATCAAGTTTTAAAAGTTCGTGATTAAAAAAATTCAAAACGCATTAAGCAATCGTGTGTGATAATAAAGTTATATTTATTTAGTTTAATCAATGGTTTCTCATCTTACCTGGTATCGCCCTGTCATTAGTTGGGCTCTCGTTGGCGTACAGAAGAATTGAACGTAGTAGTTTTCTAGCTTCACACCTTCTTCAGCCAGCTTATCCATGATGGGAGTTTTAAAAAGCGAGCCATGGTAGCCTATATCTCTGTAGCCCTGGTCATCACCCATAATGAAGATAACATTAGGCTGCGAAGAAGTAGCATAGGTGAGACTGACGCTTGTGCAAATTATAACAATTAAGCCTAAAAGTAACATTGACGTGGCCATATTTGCTGGCATGGAACTTAGTTCTTCGAGATTGGCACTGTACTGACAAGTTTTATATCTTGAACCTGCCTATTGAAATCCAACCTATTGTATTTTGACAATGTGTCTTGGTGTTACGTACTGGGTTTACAGTACATCGTTTCAAAGCATTCATTCATTTGGAAGATCTCTATATTCATGGAATAGAAATGTCCATTATTAAAAACTGCGACTTTCTAAATTCAAATACAGGATTAAGAAATGCTTGGTGACTCTAATAATGACACGATCAATTCCTAATCAGGAGACGCCTCTATAATGCATGAGGTAAAAAATGATTAATTATTCTTTACGCCAGGTACACTTTTTTGGTCCCGAAGTTTCTTTTTAAATCAATAGGAGTCCCACTTTATACTGAAACTGTAGGCCTATAATAATTATATTCAAAGATGATAAAATGTAGTTTGTCAATTTTATGAATGAAGTACAATTATTATTAACACTCAGTCACTTCATGAGCTTCAACGACTGCCCATCAGACAGTGTGTTATTTTTAAGTTCTAAAATTCCATTGCAGTACCTAGGCTTATAAAGCTCTTTATATTTGAATTAACTACGGTATCCTATTTACTTACTAGCGTACCGTACATTTCTTGTAGGCCTACTAAATGTGGCCATAATCACTCATCTTCTAAAAAGTTCCTCTCGCTTTCAAAACCTAGTTTGTTTACTTCTTTGACTATTTTTGTAACTTTAATTCACAGCTCATTTGTTTTCCGGTAACTATTCACTTGCCTCTTGATCTGGTTTAGCATTGGCGCTAAAATTGAGATTATTATTAATATCTAACCATCATCTTCGTCATTCGTCATCATCATCGTAACCATCATCAACACCACCCAGGGGTGGATTTAGAGGGGGGCTTAACAGGCTTTAGCCCCCCACCCCCTAAAATTTCATAGCCACTTCTTTTTAACTGCTTTTTGAAGGTCCAAATTAAAATATTGTTTAATGTTTTCTTCACACACATCATATTTATGGGCTAAACATTTTACAGTAGTTGTTTTTCAGTGATAAAATAAAAATGAAATACGTTTTTTAACCGATCAGCAGACAAAAAAACGAAGCTAATAAAGCTGTTTTTGCCTACTTTTCAAAGTGGGGGGGGGGACATGGTATCGATTGCCCCCCCCCCCAATTTTCACCAATCTTCTATAATTAAAACCCCACTTTTTACAAGCAAATGGAAAGAATAACAATTATGCATGACTCATGAATTTTGTCTGTTCACTTTTCTAAGTGCCGTACGTATTTTCCGGACCAAAACCAAGTAAAAACGCAATTGTTTAAACATTTTGTAACCATCTCAGAAACCCACTAGATCGATTTTATGGGTGCAACGACTATCAGAGGCTAAATTTATTGTGAAAACAATGTACTGAACGTTGTTGAAATTGGAAGCCTGTATCCTTATTAGGCCAAAATTTTTACAAACTCAAAAGTGCAAAATTTCTATTATAAACGATTTATTCTTTTTGTATATTATTATGACCCGTACGTATATACTAGTGCTTAATATTATCATACATAGGATTACTGTTTTTTCTAATTTCACGGATATGATGTCTACCTATTTCGATTAAGTAATAAGCCTACCAAAAGTTTACAAACTCCGGTGTTACGTTGACGCAGTCTCGCAATGACGCCATAATAATCAGTGGCAGATTCAAGTGTGGCCGAGCCGGCCCTAATTTTTTCAAAATTATTTTTTTTAAATGGAAAAAAAACAAAGGAAAATTAAAATTAGAATTTAGGTCTGAGAGAGACATTTCCGGCAATCTAGAGGTGTCATAATCATATATTTGCTTGCCTCAGCCCCAACCATGGTGGGGCTGAGGTGGTAGTCCAGCTACACTCTCCATCTGTAAAAGTCCCTCTCTGGGCCCAGCTCTATTCCAAATTACTGGATCCGCCACTGGATATTTTAAAAATTTCGTATGGAAATAAATGTTAATTGTATTGCTTAAAATCAATTAAAATTAAAAAGCTATATGCACCAGAGCATCCGCCGGGCTTCGCCCCCTGCTCTCCAGCCATTGCTTGGGCCCACGGCCCAAGGCTTTATTTTTCATCTCGTCCCCCACTTTCAGCCACGGATCGACGCCCTTGGGTATTTAAACGTTTGTATGATACACTGAACATTTCGTGTCGAGAGAGTTGTTCCAGTTTAGTTTTTTTTTTGATTGCCTGTCATTGGATACTACTACTACATTTAAAACTTATTTTAAGGGGAATTCTTTTGTCGTCTGAGGTTCTCCTTAACATTGTCAAATTTTATCTTTAGGGACAGTATTTTTATTATGGAACTGTTTTCACCCTCTTCATTGTCTTATGTTCCCCATGGCAACCCTTTCACCAGGATTTTTAAAGAATGGTGAAATTTCAGAAAATGTCCTGAAAATTTTAAGGGTGGTGCACAAAATTCTAAAGGGTGGATCATAAAACAATTTCTATTTTAGTACATAGCAAGTGACACGCTAAGTCTGTTTATTGACCTTGCATTTGCATTAATATTTTTTTGAAGCGTGGTTCCAATATTTTAAGCATGGTGTATAATTTGCCTTTTTAATATTTTTATTTAAATTATGTTGTTTCTGTGAGTATCCTGCGTGAAAAGATATTTTTATCTGCCATTAAAGATCCTAGTTAATCGTTTTTCATATTATTAATTTATTTACATA